AAAGGAAGGAAGGAAGGAAGGAAGGAAGGAAGGAAGGAAGGAAGGAAGGAAGGAAGGAAGGAAGGAAGGAAGGAAGGAAGGAAGGAAAAGAAAAGAAAGAAAGAGAAAAAGAAAGATTCATGAGGAACAGCATATTTACGTAGTTTCAAAATACCTCCCCACCAAATACTCATTAAAAAGAGAATAACTTTGCAGTGCCGAAGCCTAGCAAACACCACCTTAAGTCATCAAAGTAAACATTAGTAAGAGAACCAATCAAAATTAGACAAACCAAAATTGAGAAACATTCTACAAAATAACTGGCTTGTACCCTCCAAAGGTATCAAGGTCATGAAAATCAAGTAAAGAACAAGGAACTATTCCAAATTGTCACAATATGAAAAGTAAATGCTGCATGTGATTTTGAACATATTCTTTTGCTATAATGGATATTAAGGGGTTTGGTGAAACATGAATAGGATATGAATACTAGATGGCAGTAACGTGTCAATGTTAATTTCATGATTTGGATGGCTATATTGTGGTTCAGTAAGAGACTACATTTGTTTATAGGAAATACATACTAAAGTGCTTGAGGACAATGGGACATCCTTAACTTACTCTCAAACAGTTCAAAAGAAAAACGTCTTTGAACTGTATTTGCAACTTTTCTGTAAGTTTGAGATAGTTTCAATTCTTTTAAAAAAGGAGAAAAAAGAAAAGCAGTAAAGACAGAGGAGGCATTGAATCTCTTCTCTTCAGTATCGTCACCCTATCTCCCATCTTGCCCCAGGTCTCAGCGGTAACCCAAAGCTTTCTTCATTTACCATCAATCTAGAAGCAAACACTGCAAAAAGAGGGGAGGTCCTCAGCTGCAGCTGGAACTTGTGTTCCAGCCCAACAGTCCTGCCAAGTTGCCCAGACTTTCAAAGCCCCCAGGCTTATTAAAGTTTTCATATTTTTTTTTAAATGATATGCCAAGGCTGACCAGGCTATAATGAAACAAATTTGGCTTTTGAAAAATAATTTGGCAACAAGTATTAAAATCCTTAAAAATGTTCATATCCTTTGATCTGCCTAGCATTTCCACTTCTGAGAATCTATACATTAAAATCTTTTTTTTTTAATTTTTAAGTAAAATCTTAAAAAGAATTTAGCATAAACATGTACCTAATGGTGTGTATATATATATAGGATATATAGGATTATATATATATATATATATATATGCATATATGTAGGATTATTACCTATGGTATGATGAAATATATTAGGTAAAATATTTGATGAAATATTTTTAAACCATTTTAAATAATGTTTATGAATAATTTGGGATCGCTTGGGGAAATCTTTGTTTTAATATTTACTGGAAAATCAGTACATAAATTTTATATTGTAATCATAACTATGTTTTTATAAAAATCTCTACGTAGAATGGATAAATGGAGAAGTAGGTGGTAAAGCAATTACAGTAAAATATTAATGGAAGAATCTATGTGGCAGGTATAGAAGTATTCAATGAGAATTCTTTCAACTGTGCTGTACCTTTGAAAATTGCCATGACAAAATATTGGGAGGAATCACTACATAGACAATGGAAGAAAACAAAACATAGCAGACTAATTCAAACTGAAGAAAAAAAAAATTTTTAAGTTAGTACTGTGTTTCATGCAGTAAAACTATGCTTGACTTATTATATTTACTCTGTATGCTCATGGGTACTACCTTTATTTGGGAAATTATTTAAGCCCTTAAGGAATGCCTTAATGTCTATAAGGAATGCTTTATCTCTTTCAACAGTCATAGCATTATAGTCAAAGAAAAAAAGAGGAAAGCTGCCCTCAGAGTGCATTTTCACAATCAAATGAGAAACCAGGTACTCAGGAAACAACTCTATCAATACTCCCCATAAACCTAGAGATTCTGTGTACATCTCTCCTCTCCTTAGATGATCTTGCCTTGGAGAGATTATCCACAGCTCCAGTTTAACCATGACCTTGCTGCAGAAAAGTCCTAAACCTCCGATTCCATTCCCAACTTCTTTCATGAGTTCCACATATCCATTTCTGAATAAATGGTGGACAGTTCTTCCTAGGTGTCCCAATAGCATCTTAAACAGCAAGTCCAGTACCTAATATCATTTTTCCTTCTAGGCAAACCGCTACTCTTCCTCCTGTTTCCACCATGTCACTAGTGGCACAACCATTCTCCCTGTTACCTTTCTCTTCTCCCAGTCCTTCAGCTTGTGTACCAAACATCACCTTCACATCATTCCACATTTGCAATCTCTATGCTCTCTAATGCTCGTTTCCATTTCATTCCCCCTGCCACCATGCTATTTTCTTAGTCTCTAAATCTCGTTAGCAAACCATCCCACATAGGCACATTAGACTCATCTACATAAAGCACAGCTCTGATCCCACTAGGGAATGAGACAAATGGATCATGGAACTCCTTTCCACCTCTGAGATTGTCTGTGTGATTCCCATATACAAAAATATTCCTTGTGTGACCAATGCTTATCTCAAAAACTCTAAACCCTAATCTGGCATTCTGATCCGAAGCATCCTTCGCTCTCAAATGGCTATACCCCTCTCCACTAATGCTATGCCCTCATAAATCTGACCACTCAAAATGCCATCTTTGCTCTTTCCTGCCTTTGCCCAGGATAATCTCCTCCTTAGTCACCAGCTCCACCATCAAAATCCTTTTGCTCCTTCAAGGCTCTCTCCTGCATAAGATCCTTTGTCTACAACTGGAAGTGATATCTGAATTCTTTAAACCATTCTACTAGTGCATTCATACTTAAACGTGAAAACAAATTGCCTGGGATCTTGGAAAACTACAGATTCTTGTTCAGTAGTTCTACAGCAAGACCTGAGATTCTGCATTTCCAACAACTCTCAGATGATGCTAGTCCCCAAGTGACACTTTGAGTAACAGGATCTTACTTAACATTGC